GGTTGCAGGAACAGCAACTCATATTCCGCTTGGGAACCCTGCAGCCCAATGGTATCAATGTGGATTTCACAAACTTCAAAATCTCCCCTCCCCCTACCGCATCCCAAAACCAGCCCAGCTCATCCCCGCCTCCCTAACCTGTTCTTCCTCCCACCTATCCCCTCCTCCCACCTCAAGCGGCACCCCCATCTCCTACCGACTAACCTCATCCCGCCCCCTTGACCTGTCAGTCCTCCCTGGACTGACCTATCCATTCCCTAACTCCTCACCTACACACCTTTACTGGCTCCATCCCCGCCTCTTCGACCTGTTTTGTTTCCTCTCCACCTATCCTCTCCTCTATTCATCTTCTATCCGCCTCCCACTCTCTCCCTATTTATTTCAGAACCCCCTTCCCCTCCCCCTTTTCTGATGAAGGTTCTAGGCCCGAAACGTCAGCCTTTCTGCTCCTATGATGCTGCTTGGCCTGCTGTGTTCTTCAGAGCCAGCTCTGTTTATATCTATCAGCCAGGGCTCCCTGATTAGTTTAGACCAGTTTAACAGCTTCAATCAGGGAACTCATTCTGTGAGGTCCTGCTGGCTGACCTCATTACAATTCTTGCACCCTCCCCCGTCTAAGTCCTGAGACAAGGCCTGTTCTGTTTCTTGTAGCCTCTCCTGGAGAATTTTCGCCACGGGTCCAGTTCCTCCAACTCAGCCTCAGAGACGGGCAGCCTGTCGCGGACTGTAGCCCGCCTCTTGCACCCAGAGCATCTTGGAAGAATTTCATCATCTTCAGGCGGTAAAAGCATTGAGGCTGCGACATCCGTCATGTCCATCCTAGTCTCTGAGGTTTCTTCAACGCTAAGACAGAGACAGCAAGAACCCAAAGGTTCCGACAGCCTTGCCAGCTGTTCTGAGGGACCGGGTATGATTTGCTCCAGTCCTGTTTGTGAGTTTGTAGCTTTCATGTGGTCTACGTGCCTGTCCAGGACTGCCTCACCTACCTGAACTTTGTATGTCTTGAAACCTGACCTCACGTCGACTATGCCCCTTACCCATCCAGGGCCATTTCTGTAGCTACATCACCAAACTTCACCCCCCTTAAGTTAACTATCTCTCTTGCTTAGCAAAGTTGTGTGTCTGGCATTGGCTTTCCTGATACGATTTCACCCTCCAGGTCTGGGAAGATCAGATTTAACTTGGGTGTGGAGCCTTCTCCCCATAAGCAACTCTACAGGAGCTAGTTGTATGAGGTGTGGTCTGATAATCAATAGCACTGGGACAGTTTGGCATTGAGCGAAGTTTCTTTAAGCCTGCCTTCAAAGTTTGGACTGCTCTTTTACCCATTGGACAATGGATGGTATGGAGCTGTCCTTATATGCCGAATTCCATTAGACTTTAGGAAATACTTGAATTCCCTCCTGGTAAACGATGGCCCATTGTCTGTGACCAACACTTCCTAGAGTCTGCGTGTTGCAAAAAATGTGCACAGTTTTTCTATCATCGTTCCCGTGTTTGACGAATGAACTCAATGCCTGTCCAACCACTTTGAATAGGTGTCCACAATGACTCAGAATGTTGAGCTGATGAAAGATGTCGATGTGTAACTGAAAGC